CAAAACTAGAAATAACCCAAATGTCCACCAACAGGTAAATGGATAAACAAACTGTGGTATAGTCATACAATGGAAGATTATTCAACAATAAAAAGGAATGAATTCTTTTTTCTTTCTTTTTTTTTTTTTTTTTTTGGGCAGTTGGCCAGTCCCGGGGATCCGAACCTTTGACCTTGGTGGTGTTATAACACCATACTCTAACCAACTGAGCTAACAGGACAGCACTTTGGAATGAACTCTCCATACAGGCAACATCTTAGATGAATCTCAAAATTATTATGTTAAGTGAAAGGAGCTGGACAAAAAGTACATTCTGTTTGATTCCTTTTACATAAAATTCTAGAAAATGCAAACTAGTATATAATGACAGAAAGTGGATCAGTGCTTACCTAGGCTGTAGGGGAAAGGGCCAGAGGGAAGGATTATGAAGGGGTACAAGGAAACATTTGGGGTGTTGGATACGCTCATTATCTTGATTGTGTGGATGGTTTCACAGGTGTTCACATATGTCAAAACTCATCACACTGTATGCTTTAAGTATGTGTTGTTTATTGTATGTCAATTACACCTCATAGTTGTTTAAAAAAACAAAAACAAGAAATTTTATACAGTTCTAAGTACCCTATGAATATTATATTATTCACCTTCAGTAAAACCCTAAGATGTAAATACTATTATTATGTCCCTTCTCATTTTACAGATGAGGTAAATAAGGCACAAAGAGCTTAGGTAACTTTCCAAAAGGCACAAAGAAAGTAACAGAGCTGAGGCTCAAACTCAGGCAGTATGGCCCAGCATCCATATTCTTAACTATGCTGCCTCTGGGTGGATGCTGACTCAGAGGATATTGTGGTGGCAGAACCCTCCTGTGCTGATGGAAGTAGAGACTGGGAGAGCTATTCTGAAGTGCAAGCTGGCAGTACTTAGTCAACTTCGGTATAACAACGCCCTATGACTCATCAACTCTGTAACTGCAGAAAGATATAAATATAGACATAGTCATGGTCATAGTTATAGACAGAGACATAGGTACGTCTTCAAAGTTCTCACCGGAGTCTACAGGGAAGCTTGTATGAGAATGTTCATTGCCATATTATTTATTGTGGTTGGGAATCAGAGGGGACATGGGTGCTCTTCACAACAGGATTGTGAGCTGGTAAAATGTGGTGGGACTGATACTGTGCAGTATCATGCAGCAATAGCTCTGATAGTCACAGAACATGGGCGGAGACGAAAAACATACTGTTTACTGAAAATAAGTAAGATCAGAATGAAATCTGTTACAAGATGCTATTAACATAAATTTTAAATGTTTGCAATCCCTGAACTGGCCAGCCACCAAAAACAAAAACAAATGTTTGCACACAAAACTACTCATATTTTGCAACAGCACAAATAAAGAAATGAACATTAAACACATTGGAATGGTTGCTTTTTGAAGGAAGAAAAATGAGAGATGGGTATGGAAATAATTTAAAAAATAATAAGACTTAAATCAATGAAGACAATATGCTAAGAACTGTGTCATTAATTCAATCTTCTGCAACTGAGACCCAAATATATAAATAAAATACAAGGAAAGGACAAAGGGAGGAGATAGATAGAGTTGCTGGAACTCAGGGGTGAAAGTTCCCACAGAAGCTAGAAGCAAAGTGGACTGTAGAGCAGGAGCTGGGGGTGGGGGGTGAGGGGGCAATATCCTGGCTTTCTCCTACCTTCCGATCCCTTACCTACCAGAAGCCAGTAGCCACAGGAGCTGAGAAAAGAAAAGTCTGCAGGGATAAGCTCCCCAACATACAGGGCAGAGTTTAAGAAAGGTTACAATTTGTTCTAAGACCGAATGCACCAAGGATCGCTGTATAGTCCTCCCTCATTCTGTGCAGGGGATTGGTTCTGAGAAACCTCCCCCCCCCCAACCCTCCCATTCCTCCAATACCAAAATCTGCAGAGGCTAGAATATAACCTACACATATCCTCCCTTATACTTTAAACCATCTCTAGATTACTTATAATACCTAATACAATGTAACTGCTGTGCTAATAGTTGTTACACTATAATGTTTTTTAAATTTATATTTTCTATTGTTGTAATGTTATTTTATATTGCTGCTTTCCTGAATATTTTTGGACAGCAGTTGGTTGACTCCGTGGATGTGGAATCCGTAGATAGGGAGGGCCAACTGTACAACATCAACAAACACATACACGCGCTCCAATGCAAAGCTCCTCGAGCCATGTGTCTCTCTCCTTCCTTTTCATCCTCTACCAGTCAACCTCTTTCTCCCACCTTCCCTGCCATTTTTTCTCTCTCCCTCCCAACTCTCTCCTTCCTTTCATGTCTCCTCTTCTACTTCCCCATCACTTTCTCCACACTCTTTAACCTACCCTCTCTCCTATATCTAGCCCTGACTTGCTCTTCCCATTCCACTTTCACTGGGGCTCAAACACCTAGAAGGGTCCCTGAGAAGCATCAGAAAAGAAGCCTCCTAAGGAGAGCAGGAATGTGCCTTGCCACAAGCGGCAGGACAGAAGCCAGGCCACTGGGCCCTCACCATGCACACTGCCTAGCGCACTGCCTGTTCATCTGTCCCCAACTGTGCCTCCCTCCTGTTCCCTTTTCCCTCTTGGCATTTTTCTCTGCTCTTTCCCCCTCTGCCTGCCCTTCTCCCTTTGTAATACTCCAACAGCCCTTGTCCTTTTACCTTCCTGAGCAGTCCTTCTCTGCACGCATCAATCTCTTCTCTCCCATTCTGCTCCTAAACGATTGTTTCTTCTCAACATTCAGACCTTACTTCTTCATCTATGCCCCGTTAGACAGGTGGGTGGAACCAGCCACTAAATGGTTCCCTCGTTTTTTGTTTTGTTTTGTTTTATTGCTCCCCAGTCTGTGTTCTCAGCCATAAGCAGCAGACCCTCATTTCATTTATTCGACAAACATTTACTGAGTGCCTGGCCCCAGTCCAGGTGCTGGGGACACAGGGGTAGACAAGATGACCTTCTGCCCTTGAGGCTGGAATACAGAGATGAGAAGAAATCATAATGATATACTATGTATATCATGGCTTTCTGGAGAAAAGCTCCACAGAGGGGGGAGATTTTGGGGGGAGGGTGAATAGGAGTCCTCTGGCATTCCAGGCTGCGAGGATTAGTGTAGCAAAGGCACCAAGAAGGGGTGAGACAGCACAGTGTGTTCTGGGTATAAAAAGTGGGCATTTAGGGGCCGGCCCGTGGCTCACTCGGTAGAGTGCGGTGCTGATAACACCAAGGCCACGGGTTCGGATCCCATATAGGGATGGCCGGTTGCTCACTGGCTGAGCGTGGTGCTGACAACACCAAGTCGAGGGTTAAGATCCCCTTACCGGTCATCTTTAAAAAAAGGGGGAAAAAAAGTGGGCATTTACCGGAACACCTAGGACAAGTATAGAAGGTGAGGCAAGGAAGACAGGTAAGGCAGAGATGGAGAGGAAAGGCAGGGGGCTTTGCTCACTCTGAAAGGGTGTTTGAACTTGACAGGGGTGGCAACAAAGAGTCAGTGACGTTTTGGGCGAGAGTGATGAAGTTGGACTTTTGAAAATTGTACTCTGCCCTCCTTTTAAGGGAAGAGGAGGAGCAGGAAGACCAGTCAGTGTGATGGTGGTCTGGACTAAAGTGGCAGCAGTACGGGTGGAGAAAAGCAGATGAACGTGAGAGAATTTAGGAGGTCAAAACAGCAGTGTTGGAAACTAACTGGATGAGGGTGGGCGGGGACGGTGCAGGACAGGAGGCATCAAGCATGCATGACTTCTGCCATAGGGGTGACTGGGTGGCTAATTCACTAGAATAAGGAAGTTAGGAACAGGAGCAGGTTCGGACATGCTGATCTCTGAGCTTTCCCATGCAGGTTGTAACTGGACACCCGGACGTGGAGCTCCGGAGAGAGGCCTGGGTTGGATGCAACTGAAGCTTTCAGGGCGGTAGAATGGCTAGGGACGGCGGGCTGGAGACCACCCCGGTCCAGTCCGCTGCGGCTCCTCGCCCTCCCTCCAGGTGGCACTGCAGCCCCGCACGTCTGAAGGTTTCAGCCCAGTTTCCAGCGCCGCGCGCTCCCTAAGCTCTCGAGGTGTCCCGCTTTCGTCTCTGGACGCGCCGACCTCAGGTCGCGCCCTCTCGGCTTGGCAGGATTCAGCTGGTGATCCACACCGGGGGCAGCCTCCGGACAGCGCAGGGTCCACGCACCCAGCTCATGAGTGGCGGCGCCGGGACCTCAGAGCTGGTGGCGTGATCGGCGTGACCACCTGTCCCTCGGGCCGCCTCCAGGAACAAACGTGGGAAATGTGTGTAGGGAAAGGGCCGGACAGGCAGTGTTCGGAGGAGGGATGTAAGGAGAGACAGGACCACAGAGCCCGGCCACCGGACCCGCTAGGAACGGAATTTCCTGGCCCCAGGGCCACCCCGCGTGGGAAGGGTGTCGCGGACTCTTTAAGGTTCTATCTCACTGCCCTCCCCCGCCCGGGAGAGGCCGGGACACCCGGGACCTGACATTTGGCGGCTCCAGACGTGGGAGCTAAAAATAGCTGCTCCGGGTTACTTGGGAACATTGCTCCTCATCTACCCCGTGCGCCAGTGCGCTCTGTCTCCCAGCGCTGGAGGTCCCCCCGGCCAAGCATACCTGGCCCATTCCCTCCTCTTGGACCCCACTGTCCAGACCCGCGGCGCTAGACTTTAAGGATCTTCTCCATCCGGATCTCGGCTGGTGGGAGGAGTCCTGACACGTGGGTGGGCGGGGCCTTCTGTTCCAAGGACCCTCTTCTCAGCACTGCCAGCCGAGGGGCGTGTCTCACTGGCAGGGCTGAACCGCGTGGCCTCCCTTGCCAGCCCCACTCACTCTCGCCAAACTCTAAGCCCCGGTTTAGGAGGGGGGCGTGGCCTTCTGGGGTGTGCCGGCTCCTGGCCAATGTTGTTGTGAGGGGCGTGGCCCGCGGGCAGGCGGGAGTGAGCTGGGGGGGTGCTCCTCGCGTCTTTTTTCCCAGCCAGGCTCCTGCAGATACCCGGGAGCCCCGCTGCTCTCTGGCTCCTCGGCTCGTGGCTGTGGGTCCCACCAGGCCCGCCCTCCGCACGTCGCTCCGAGACCCCCGTGGGCCCCGCACCCTCTGCCCGCCAGGCCGGGGCCACAGCCCCCCCAGTCGCCTCTCTCGTCACTGCTGCCGCTGCATCTCCAGCTCTTCTAAGACGACATGCCGTCGGGCTTCCAACAGATCTGCTCCGAAGTAGGGTTCAGCGTGCGGAGGCGGAGCAGGGCGGGGGCACGGGTCCAGCTTTTCCTGGGCTAGGGTCGCGGTTGGGGTCATCTAGGGGGCGGTGGAGGTGGCGCAGGGGGTGGAGGTGGGATCCTGGCTATTTATACCCGGCCTGGATAACCCATGACTGTCGGATTCCAGTCCGGCCTAGAGGCAGAGTGGGTCTGGAGGACGTTTCCGGGGCGCAGGCCACAGCTGGATTCTGCGAGTCCAGGGTTCGTCCCCTTCCCTAGCACACCGCGAGTTATCCCGGAATTGGGAATACTCTGGCCTTTATCCGACTTGGGAAAGCAGATCCAGATGGGTCTTGCCCTCAGGGAGCTGTCCGTCTGTCCGGCTCAGGGGCAGTGTTTCGAGGACCGGAGACTCTCCATGGCCCCCACCCCCACACCTGGCTGCCCTCCAGACTCTGAACTTTCCCTTGTCCCCACGGTTGGTGGACGGACAGAGGGGAGCGTCAGCACCCCCCCCTCCCCCAGCTCAGGTTTCCGTTTGGAGACAGTCTGTGCCGCCAGCGAGCGGCCACCACTGCCACCGCCCCTCACACCACCTTCCCACCCTCCTCCCCTGGGCATGGCTCTCCCAGGCAAAACCCGGCACTGCCCCCCGCCCTTGGTTGGAGCTTAGAGGGGGGAAGGGAGGCCGAGCAGAGACAGAGAAGGCCACCCCCAGAGGAATGACCTGGTCGTCCTTTTCGAAATTGCACTTCTTGGGCCTGGTGAGGGACTCCTGGAGCTGGCTGAGAGAAACCCAGAGGGGAGGGAAGAGGACAGTGGTTGATGATAACAATGCACTTGTCAGTTTATAAAACCAGCACTGTCAGGGAAACCGCTAAAACTTGATTTTGATTTTCACAACACTTTTACTGATAGGTAGGCAAGGCAGGCAACATCACCTCCATCTCACTGAAGAGGAAACCTAGGTTCAGAGTGGAGAAGTGACTCGCCCAAGGTCACACAAATCTGAGCTCGTAAGGTCAAGCCAGTCCCAAGGTCACAGACATATTATGAGACTTAGGTCTTCAAACATTTCTCTGCCTTGTGGACTCAAATATCCAGTTTGTTCTCCATGCCCCCATTGCTGTTGGATTCTGTGTACTCCTGTTTATATTGAGAACTCTGTGCAGTTCCTAATATGGTCCAGTTTCCCTCACCCAACATGTTGGATGGAACCCAGCATCTTCAGACTCCAGCTGGGTCTGGGCCCCTGGAGGAAGGAAAGAAATGTTCCATGTGGCATGCCCCCGTCTGCTTCTGCCTGTGCAGGATGGGGAGCCCCCTCGGCAGCAAGTGACTGGGACCCTGGTCCTCGCTGTATTCTCTGCTGTGCTTGGCTCCCTGCAATTTGGCTACAACATTGGGGTCATCAATGCCCCGCAAAAGGTGAGGGGCCTGCAGCTGGCAGGGTGGGGGTGCCCAAACAAGGAGGACAGGGGACCTCAGGGGTGGTTGAAAGAGAAGGGTCTGCAGGGAATCACTCCTGTGTCCCCCCAGGTGATTGAGCAGAGCTACAATGAGACATGGCTGGGGAGGCAGGGGCCTGAAGGACCCAGCTCCATCCCACCAGGCACCCTCACCACCCTCTGGGCTCTCTCAGTGGCCATCTTTTCTGTGGGCGGCATGGTTTCCTCCTTCCTCATTGGCATCGTCTCTCAGTGGCTCGGAAGGTATGGAGCTGGAGGGCAGGGGTGGGGGAACAGGAGGGGAGCTACAGCATGGGTGCCTGAACTGTCACAGCCCCACTCTGTCTGCCTTCCAGGAAAAGGGCTATGCTGGTCAACAATGCCTTGGCAGTACTGGGGGGCACCCTCATGGGTCTGGCCAACGCTGCTGCCTCCTATGAGATGCTCATTCTTGGACGGTTCCTCATTGGCGCCTACTCAGGTACCCACAGGCACCATGGCCCTGCTGAGAGCACTACTCTCCTTCGCCATGCCTGGGCTTTTGGATGCAAGTGGGCAGCTGCCCTCAGCCCTCTCTTCTTCCCTCTGCCCAGGGCTGACGTCGGGGCTGGTGCCCATGTACGTGGGGGAGATTGCCCCCACTCACCTGAGGGGTGCTTTAGGGACACTCAACCAACTGGCCATCGTCACTGGCATCCTGATCGCCCAGGTGACTGCACCTGGCCTCATGGGAGGCTAGGCAGGGGTTGGGATCTGGCTCTGGAAAACGGGTTGGGCCTCCAGGGTAAGGCAGGAGGGCTGAGTGACCTGCCTTTCCTCTCACCCTTCTCCCATAGGTACTGGGCTTGGAGTCCATGCTGGGCACTGCCACCCTGTGGCCATTGCTCCTGGGCATCACAGTACTACCCGCCCTCCTCCAGCTAGTCCTGCTGCCCTTCTGTCCTGAGAGCCCTCGCTACCTCTACATCATCCGGAACTTGGAGGGGCCAGCCAGAAAGAGTGAGCTCTCTCCCTGCAGTCTAGCCCAGGCCCATGCCTCCATCCCATCGGACTAGCACCTGGCCTCCTCTCAGGCCCCCTCAGGCCTGACCCTCCGCACCCCCAGGTCTGAAACGCCTGACAGGCTGGGCTGATGTGTCTGGAGCACTGGCTGAGCTGAAGGATGAAAAGCGGAAACTGGAGCGCGAGCGGCCACTGTCCCTACTCCAGCTCCTGGGCAGCCATACCCACCGGCAGCCCCTGATCATTGCCGTTGTGCTGCAACTGAGCCAGCAGCTCTCAGGCATCAATGCTGTACGTATGCAGCAGCCTCCAGCCAGGGCATGGGGCAGGCAACAAACAGTCCAAGCGGAGGGAGAAGGGAGCAAGCCCCTCTGTTAAAACTCAGGGTCAGTCCAGCTTGGTGTGGCTGGAATGGAGGAAGGGACATCCCTGCCATCACCTTTTCTTCTCCCCCATCTCTAGATTTTCTATTATTCGACCAGCATCTTCGAGACGGCAGGGGTAGGGCAGCCAGCCTATGCAACCATAGGAGCTGGTGTGGTCAATACAGTCTTCACCTTGATCTCGGTAACTGCTCGCTTCTGCTATGGCCCACACCCACCCAAGCTGTCCCACTTCCTGTGTCCTGAAGACCCCTTGCCAAGCCCTGACTCTCCCCACAGGTGTTCTTCGTGGAGCGGGCAGGGCGTCGGACACTCCATCTCCTGGGCCTGGCGGGCATGTGTGGCTGTGCCATCCTGATGACAGTGGCTCTGCTTCTGCTGGTGAGGCCTGGGGGCTGGGAGGAGGCCAGCAGCCCAACCCATGGGAACGGGCCCAAGAGCCTCTGTGGCCAGCCAGGGCCACTCCTTAACATATGCACCTTTAATCCTGGGGCAAGCCTGTGTGCCAGCACTGTGGATGCTTGGCTCCAGTCTGCTGGGACTATGGTGTGTGCTCCTCAGGGACCCAGGCTGCACTGGGGCCTGCTCCAGGAGGCAGCTGTAGCACAACTCTGGCAGCCAGGACAGAGAGCCCCTGTCAAGCCTCACAAATGAATGATCATTGAGGCCGGCCAGTGGCTCACTCGGTAGAGTGCGGTGCTGATAACACCAAGGCCACGGGTTCGGATCCTATATAGGGATGGCTGGTTTGCTCACTGGCTGAGCGTGGTGCTGACAACACCAAGCCAAGGGTTAAGATCCCCTTACCGGTCATCTTTAAAAAAAAAAAAAAAAAAAAAAAAAAAAAAAAAAAAAA